ACTCTTTCCTTAGTCCACTGAAATCTAAGCACCACTTCTGACGCTCAAGGAAGACTTTTTGAGAGGTCAGGGATTGGCAACACAATCAGCCCTGGATAAAATTCCTCAGCACATTTCATTTCTAATGAGCTTCCCTGGTTAGGAACATTTCGCCTGCTGCCGCAACTTCTTGTTGGGGGAATTAGCGTATCCTGTGTAATTCTTCTAGAAGTTCGTACCCATATTTCCCTGGATTTGGCCCCATGAGCCTTTTCTCTGTGCTTCAGATAATTTCACTGCAATTAACAATAGCCATGAGTATAATTAAATGCAAACTCTGTGAGTCCTCACAGAGAATTATGGAACTAGGGATTGGTCTTGGGGAGCCATCAACAGCAGGACTAATATGATAAAAACAGAATATGTCATATGTAAGTGTCAAGGTTTAAGTCAGCTTGGCTAATGGTAGGGAAGAGTTGGGGTTGAATGTTAACTTCCAGAATTTAAACAGAAAGATAAGACCACAGTAACACTACAAATTTGATAGAAGAGAGAATAATTACATGAGGATGAACTGGTGAAATAGAATTTTATGATTTTATGACTTTTGACTAAAACATTACTGATTTTCATCTATACTTTGTTTTCCAGATTGAAGGATTTTTGTCTTCACTTGAACTGTTGATAGTTTCATTTCCCTACTGTTTTAACTAAATCCTAGCCTTTTTCCTGGCTTTAAGTCTTAAGCAAATTTCTCTTTAACATTTTGATTTTATCTATAAAAATAAAACTGTTTACTCTTGAAATAAAAAATTTACTAAAATAAATACCTATTTAATGACTGCAGTAAGCTATATAGCCCCAGCTAGATGCTACTTTATAGTATGTTCATTTTATTCACTGAGGTTTACCCCTAATGTCAGACATGTGTTCACAGATATGTATATATCAGCTGTGCTTGTTATTGAAATTACTTAATTTAAGATCTTTAGTGAATCAATAAAATGGGGGGGAAGGCATAGAAAGCAACTGTAGATACCAGAGACAGTGTGGGAGGGGGGTGTGAAATGGCAGAGGGTGATGGTGGGGGGAACCAGCAGTTAGCGTAATGGCTATGTCGCTGGACTCCCACATAGTCGACCGCGATTCGCGTCCCGGACCCAGTGGCTTAAAATCAAGCCGGGTGCGTGTGCATGCATGCCCAGGTTCCCAAGAGGAGAATGGAGGAGAAGGGATTGCGGCGTGACCATCCCCCTGGGGGATGATTTCTCGCTTTCTGTCCCTATCTCTCTCTGTCTGTCTGGCGAGCACACGTGCCCTATAGCGAAAAAAATCTCTCCAAAAAAAAATAAATAAATAAAAATAAGTGGTGGGGAGGATAGAAGCAAAATATATAAGAAATAAGAAATGAAAAATTATTTGTTGATAACACATATGGTAATATCCTTAATCAAGCCAATATACAGGGTATTCTGGATGGAAAATCTCATATTATATACTGTATTGCTGTACAGTGAATGAATGTACATAAATTGAAAAAAAGAAAAAAGGTATTTATGCTTCTAAATTATATATTTGATGGTTAAAAAAAGTAATTTTTTAAATAATTATTTTATTTAACTTTATTTATTTTCTTATTTTAATTTAATGAGAGAGGGACAGAGTGAGAGACATAGAGGGAAAGTGACAAAGGAAAACGTCAGGTCTGGGACTCAAACCATGATCAGTCATGTGGGAGTTCAGCACCCTTAACCACCACGCCACCTGCAAGCCCCAAGAAAAGTAATTTTCTGACCTGCTAAAAATATTCTGTTGAGATTTTTATCAACAAGGTGGACCATTAATAGAGAAAATATTAAAATCCTCTAAAATTCAAAATATCAGCCTAAAAAATTCTACTGATCAAATGCAATCTTTAAAAAACTGCTGGTTGATGGAAACCGCAGATGGCATAATGGTTATGTCGCTGGACTCCTACATAGTTGGCCTCAGTTCGGTCCCAGGCCTGGTGACTTGAAACTCATGCAGGGTGCGTGCACATACAGGCCCAGGATCCAGAGAGGAGAATGGAGGAGAAAGGACTATGATGTGGCCATCCCCCTAGAGGGTGATTTCTCACTTTTTATCTCTCTGTCTCTGTCTCTCCAGTGAGCACACATGCCCTATAGCAAAAATCTCTCTTAAAAACAAACAAACAAACAAAATAGTGATTGAGATAGGGTGTTATAAATATTCCATCATCAAACGATGTCTAGAGGCTGCCTGTAGTTGCAGGCCCTAACGGCTGGGACCCGTTGCTCATCTCTGCCCTTACTTGTCTCTGGACTTCAGGTTGGCTTCTTGGGACTTTAAGACAAACTTGCACCCCTCCCCACTCCATCTGGAGACCAGGTCAAGCCAGTGGCAGTGCCAGATACCAGCCTGCCTATGGCTGAAGGCTCTAATGGCCGGGACCCATTGCTCATCCTCTGTCCCTTCCCCACTTGCCTTTGGACTCGCAGAACTTCAGTGGTTTAAACAGTGTGTGGCACACGTTGCGGGCCATGTAATTATTTCTTTGCTCCTGAGGTGAAGCTTATTAGCTCAGTTGGAGGTTCACCACTCCTTAGAAACAGGAAGGACTTTGGGTCACCCAGGACCAATGACAACAGTACATGGTACTGGTGAGCAACAGGCAGGCAGACCAGAAGAAAAGCCACCAATTTTCTAATCCTGCACACCTTTTAATACTTGGAGATACCCTGAATAAGTTATGAAGGAACATGTAGATCACCAGATGACTAGGAACAATCGCAGAAGCTCAAGAAATAAGAGTAACTAACAAAAGGCCTCTGCCTTAAGGGAAATCATCAAGCCCACATCACCCACAGTCAATACAATGGACATGGTGGACATTTTGGATAAGGAATTCAGAATACTTGTAAGTGACCAAACTAAGTGAGATGGAAGAGAAAAGAGACAATGAGCTCCAGGAGATGAGGAAGTCCTTCAATGATTTGAAAGAAGAAATAGACACCTTAAACAAGAACCACAAGGAACTTCTAGGGTTAAAGAATGTGATATAGGAAATCAAAACCTCCTTTGAAAAGTAGATTAGATCAGGCAGAAGATCAACTCTTGAATGTAGAAGACAAAACATCTGATCTAGAAAAAAGTATCAAGAGGATTGAGAAAACAACCAAGAAAAAGGAGGAAAATATATACGGAATACTGGATACCATCAAGCGCCCCAACACCCAGATAACTGGTATCCCAGAAGAGGAAGAAAATAATAAGGGCATAGATAATTTATTCCATGAAATCCTGGAAGAAAACTTTCCAAATCTAGAAAGGCATTCAAATATCCAGACCCAAGAAATATATAGGACCCCGAGTAGAATCAACCCAAGAAGATCCTCTCCAAGGCACATCATAGCCAGATTGGCAAAAAACAATTGACAAAGACAAGATACTAAAGTTGGCAAGAGGGAAACATCAAGTTACTTACAAAGACCACCCCATCAGGCTAACATCCGACCTCTCATTGGAAACAATGCAGGCAAGGAAAGAATAGGGAAATATAGTCAAGTGGTGAATGAAAGACACTTTCAACCAAGAATACCATACCCAACAAGATTATCTTTCGTATGGGAAAAAAAGATAAAAACATTCTCAGATAAACAAAATCTGAAGAAAATGCTATACCAAGAAAACTAAAAAGTCAGACAGACAGTTGTAAGAGAACAAAAAGCAACCAAGAAAATGTCTCACTTAATGACAGGAACAGGTCCGGAAATATCGATAATTGCATTGAATATCAATGGATTAAATTCTCCAATTAAGAGACACAGACTGGCTGAATGGATAAGAAAACAGAAACCCTCTATCTGTTGCCTACAAGAAACCCACCTTATGGATAAAGACATACATAAACTAAAAGTGAAGGGCTGGAAAAAGATATTCCCGCAAATGGAAATCAAAAAAGGGCTGGAGTAGTGATATTGATTTCAGACAAAATAGACTTCAAGTCAAAGACTGTAAGAAGAGACAAAGAAGGGCATCATATAATAGTAAATGGGATAATCTAGTAAGAAGACATAACGCTTGGGGACCAGCAGTTAGTGCAATGGCTAAATCACTGAACTCTCATGAGGTTGACTGCATTTTGAGTCCTGGATTCAGTGGCTTAAACTCACACTG